ATTTACGTTCGCAACGGGATAACGTAGATCCCTCGAAGATAGGTGAAGACCCTTCCCGAAAAACCATCAACATGATTTTTGGGGGAAATGAGATCAACGGTATGACTTTCTTAGCAGCAAAAAAAAAAACAAAAATGTCGGTGAATCATAACAAAAGACTCTGGGAAGTCATCGAGGACGACATCACATTCATAGAAGAGGACACCGATGGACTTCTACTGCAGCACAACGATGCCCTTGTAATTTATCTTAACGTTCTAAATTTTATAATTAAACATGTTTTGGTAGACACAGGAAGTTCAGCCAACATCATTCAATGGAGAGTGCTGGAGCAATCCAAGCTAACGCGAAGCATCATTCCGGCCACAAAACTCCTCTCCGGGTTTAACTTAGCAAGTGTGACAACTCGATGGGGGATCCTACTACCCACGAACGTCGAAGGGATCATGAAGACTACCTTGTTTGAAGTAGTAGATGGCGACATGGACTACAACATAGTTTTTAGCAGACCATGGCTACACGAGATGAAGGTTGTGCCAACAATATATCACCAACTTCTGAAATTCCCAATTCCAGAGGGAATCAAAAAAATAAGAGGAGATCAACTGGCAGCAAGGGAGATGAACGCGATCTTGGTTTCTAGAAGTAAAGGAAAGGAACACGTGGTATAGCAATTACAGGAATTGACGCCTGCTCCCGAACCAAACAAAGCCGACAAAAGGGGAGGAGCCTTCAGAATCCTATCAGGTACCAAGGTATTTCCAAGTACCTGAAGAAATAGACACAACCAAATGCACAGCGGAAAAACTCGAACAAGTAACATTTATCAAAAAATTCCTTGAGAGGAAGTTCTATTTGGGACAGGAATAAACCTCGAGCTCAGGTCAGACTTTATAAAGTTTCTTAAAACTAATGTTGATTTTTTTGCATGGTCGCACACGGATATGACAGGTATCCCGCTAGAGGTTGTCGTGCACAAGTTAATACTGGACCCCAGCATCCCTCCGGTACGGCAAAAGAAGCACCCAATTGCTGAGGTCAGAAATACATTTGTCAAAGTAGAGGTAACTCGACTGATCGATATCGGTTCAATCCGGGAGGTAAAGTATCCTGACTGGCTAGCTAACATAGTAGTAGTAGAAAAAATGAATAATAAATTTCACATGTGCGTAGATTATAAGGATATGAATAAGGCGTGCCCAAAAGACTCGTTCCCATTGCCGAAAATTGATCAAATGATTGATGCAGCGGCCGTACACGAGTTGATGAGTTATTTCGATACCTATTTCGGGTACAACCAAATCAAGATGAACCTGGAGGATCAGGAAAAAACTTTGTTCATAACGAACGTTGGCACATATTGCTACAATGTGATGCCCTTCGGGCTTAAGAATGCCAGAGCCACTTATCAGAGGCTCGTGAACAAAATGTTCGAAAAGCAAATAGGGAAAACAATGGAAGTTTACATAGATGATATGTTGGTTAAGTCTTTCAACGAGGTGACCATTTGAAACACCTCCATGAAACCTTTGATATCGTACGAAAGCACAACATGAAGCTTAACCCCGAAATGTGTGCATTTGGAGTCAGCTCCGGTAATTTTTTGGGTTTCCTGGTGTCACAAAGAGGGATCGAAGTCAATCTCGTCAAGATTAAAGCCATCGAGAACATTCTAGACTAGATGACAAACGTGAAATAAGTCTAAAGACTAACCGGAAGACTAGTCGCTCTAAGTAGGTTCATTTCTCGATCTTCAGAAAAATGCCATTACTTCTTCTCACTTTTGAAGAAGAAGAACAACTTTGAATGGACTGCGGAATGTCAACAGGCTCCAAAAGACTTGGAATGGTATTTATCAAGCCTCCATTATTGTCAAAACCAGAGGAAGGTGAACAATTGCTAATATACTTAGTGTTCTCGAAGGTAGCGGTAAGTGCCGTTCTAGTCCAGGGAGATAAAGGTACGAAATCTCCTATCTATTATGTTAGCAAATTTTTAACGGGACCATTAACTTGTTATCCGCATCTCAAAAAATTGGTCTTATCTCTCGTAGTCGCCGCTCGAAAGCTTAGGCCTTACTTTCAATTCCACTCGATGGTTGTAGTGACAACTTTTTCCCCACGGAATGTCCTTCACAAACTTGAATTGTCATGTCACTGGCCAAATGGGCAGTCGAAATGAGTGAATTTGACATCGAATATAAACTTAGGACTGTGATCAAAACACAATTTTTTGCCGACTGCGTGGCCGATTCAGTCTCGAGCTGCTGCCTTTGGCCACTAAGGAAGCAGTGATAGTGTCGGAAACGGCATCAGGAGTTTGGAACTTGTTCACGGATGGAGATTCCAACGTGAAAGGGTCTGGAGAAGTTCTGAGGCAGGTTATAAAAATTGTTTCCTTGACTAACAATGAAGTTGAGTATGAGGCTTTGATTGCAGGATTTGAATTGGCCGGGCAACTATACTCCGAGGTCATTAAAATCAAATGTGATTCACAACTGGTGGTAAATCTGGTATATGGAATCTTCGACACCAAGGAGGAAAGCATGCAACAATATCTGGTGAAAGTTCAAACTCTGCTCGCACAGTTCAGGGAATGGTCAATCACCCATATCCTAAGAGAAGAAAACAAAGAAGCAGATGCATTGGTCAATCTGGGCTTGTCCACAAAAGTGAAAGGATTAGACTCCAGTACGGTCATACAGCTCATACACTCGGTGTTGGATATGGATAATTCTTACAAAGTAAATGCGACCAAATTGGTCGGGGACTGGAGAAATGAAATCATCGACTAACTTGAGCACGGTAAAGTGCCCAAAGAGGTGTAGGCATCCCGGGCACTCTGCACCAAAGTAGCTCGATACAGCTTCTAGGGAGGACAGTTATACAGAAGATTGTTCCAAGGCCCGTTGGCCCGATGCTTAGATGGCTCCGAAGCTAATTACATCATGAGAGAGGTTCACAAAGTAATAATTGGAAATCATTCAGGTGTAGACTCGTTGTTATTAAAATTAGTTAGGGAAGGCTACTACTAGCCTTGGATGGAACAAGACACTAAGGCATTCATTGAGAAATGCATCAAGTGTCAACGTCATGCGCGGTTAGTGCACCAACTAGCAGAGCTACTGCACTCGGTATTATCCACATGGTCGTTCATGAAATAGGGGATGGACATAGTCATTTCGCTTCCACCGGCTTCCGGTAAGGTAAGCTTTCTTTTGATTTTAAATGATTACTTTACTAAGTGGGTTGAAGTAGGTCCTTACTAGAAAATCGGCAAGCGCGAAGTGGTCGATTTCTTATGGGAGAACATAATCTGACGGTCCAAAATATCAAAGGAGATTGCCTGCGGCAACAGACCACAGTTCATAGGCTCAAAGGTCACAAAATTCCATAAAGACTTGAAAATGAAAAGAATCACATCTTCGTCATACTATCCGAGCGCAAATGGGCAGGCGCAATCAGCCAATAAGGCGATTATTCAAAACCTCAAAAAGAGGTTGGAAGCCGCCAAAGTCAAGTGGCCCGAGGAGTTACCGGGAGTGCTATGGGCATACCAGACAACGACCATGTCAAGCACAGGAGAGACACCTTTCTCTATCGTGTACGGAGCAAAAGATCTGATCCTGGTGGAAGTAGGAGAACCTACCTTGAGGTACGATGTTTAGCTTAAAGTATATATATTTCTACGTATATCGCCTCATATTTTACTTTTGTTTCGTGAATTCGGGATGTTAAACGCCATGATTTATATTAATTTGAAGTGTTTTCATGTGTAGGAATGATTCGGGAGCAATTGGGGGTGAAACGCGCAAAATTAGAGCCAAAGCATTTGGGCGCCACAGGCAGCGCCTGGCTCCACCTGTGGCGCTGGAGACAGAATAGAAATTATGGGCAGCGCCCTGGTGGGTGCCGGGCGCTACCCAGGGCGCCGGTGGCGTGATTTTGTCCTATTTTGCTCGGGACAAGGTTATTTCGGCCCTAGACCTACCCAACACGTATAAAAGCAAGACTAAACCTATTTTTGAGGGGAGAGACGCCACTTTGGAGGAAAAACACACACGAGATCGTGTGGAAGCAGAGAATTCTCAGTTTTCTTCATCTTTTTCTAGTATTTTCAATTGATTCAACAATTATGCAATTGTTTGATTACATCATGAGTGGCTAAACACCCATTGTTCTGGGGTTGTGATTTAGCCATGAATATTGTTGTTTGATATTAGCTTGACCTCGATTATAATTCACTAATATATGATTGTTTCTTTAATTGTGTGAGTAATTGCTTAATTGTCTGGCACGTAGTTAGGTTATATTTACTATCTATGCTATGCTTGGGAAAGCCGTGTTTAGATTAGAGAAGAATTGAAGAGAGCTTGATCTTAACCCTTAGGGGGAGCGGATTTGTGGTTAGGATAGGAATATACCTAGTCACCATGCTTAATTAAATATCGTATTCTTAATGCGTTCTTAATAGACTGATTTCATAGGAATATAGGCGTTAATCTATTTTGAATAGGCGAGTAGTACTTCAGGAGAAGGCTATGAGAGCAAGTATCGATTAATTAGCAACCATGAGTGAATTGTATGAGAGCGAGAGTTAACTAGAACACAATACGAATGGTGAATCGATCACAACCCTGGAATACTTGTCTCTATTGAATACATAACAAACATTCTACTGCTTGATAATTTAGCTATTACTTAGAATTGTAGTATAGTATAATTAAACTTTTGAACTCGAATTTATCTTGACGGAATAACAATATTGGTGAGTTAGTGAGTAGTTAATATAAGTCTCTGTGGGTTCGACACTCGACTTATCATTTTATTACTTGTACGACCACGTATACTTGCGTGTGCGTTTGGGGGCAACAAGTTTTTGGCGCCGTTGCCGGGGACTTAAAAATTAGCTACTTTGCTGACTTAAGGTTGTATTAGTTATTTGTTCAAATTTTAATTTTCAGTCTATCTTGTTTGTGTTAACATAGGCTCTTCTCTTGAATGCGGAGGAGTAGGAGCGCTAAAAATCTCCTTCCTCTTGATTCTGAAATTGAACGGACACTTCACAGAGTGAGGAGGGAGGTCGAAGCTAGAACTAGAGTAGAAAGAGAGTTGGACATCGTAGTTCAACCACAGCCAATAGAGATGGCAGGTAATGCAGAACGTGCGGTGATAGAAGCCGCAAGGCCCAGTCTTGCAAATATGACTCAGGCTATTGTGAAACCTGAGATCATAGGGCATTTTGAACTCAAACAGTACATGGTACAACTGATTCAGTCCACAGGGCAGTATGTGGGTCTATCTCATGAAGATCCGCAGAGGCACATTCAGAATTTCTTGGAAATTACGGATACCTACAATTATCCGAACGTTTCCAAGGACTATGTCAGGCTGACACTTTTTCCCTTTTCACTGTTGGGGGAAGCTAAGGAATGGTTGCAGAAAGAGCCCGCGTACTCAATCCACACTTGGGATGATCTAGCAAGGAAATTCCTAATCAAGTTTTTCCCCACCAAGAAGACAAAGTCAATGAGGAGTCAAATTCTTGGGTTCGAACAACGGGATGGCGAGACACTTCGTCAAGCCTGGGAAAGATACAAGAAGCTACTTAGAGATTGTCCGCACCATTGTCAGACTAATGAGGTATTGGGACACACTTTTGTTGACGGGCTAGATGAAGCCTCAAAGATGAATCTTGATTCAGCTTGTGAGGGTAGTTGCATGGCGAAACCATATAGTGAAATCCAACTCTTGCTGAATAACTACACTGCTAATGATCATAACTGGCAAGGAGATAGGGATTCACGCAAGGCAAGTAAACAGAAGGCAGCTGGGTTGATTGAGCTTGATGATTTCTTGGCCATGACAGCTGATATAGCAAAATTGGCAAACCAGGTGAATAGAATGACAATGCAACAGACACAACAGATGCAACATGTACAACAGATGTCTCTTTACTGCGAACTATGTGGTGATAATCAAATGAGTGACATGTGCCCCACGAATCAAGAATCTATATACTATGTGAGACAACAGAGCAGGGGTCCAGTGAATCAGAATGCAAAATATGGTAACACTTATAACCCAAATAGGAAGAATCATCCCAACTTCTCATGGGGTGGAAATCAGCCGAATCAGAATCATTATAGACCCCAAGGAAATATCAACCAACCTCAGAAGCCACCTCAACAGGTAGAAGAGAATGGGAATGATTTGTTGAAGCAGTTGTTGCTTGACAATCAACAGCTCAGGACCGATTTCAGAAATTTGGAGCGCCAAATGGGACAACTTGCCAGTGCTCAAAATACTAGATCAGTTGGAGCTCTTCCAAGTGACATTGAAGCTAATCCTAAGGCATCCCTTAATGCCGTGTCGTTGAGGAATGGGAGACAACTAGAAGAGGTTTAGTCGAAAAAGAGCAAACAGGTGACTTTTGATTAGAGGCCAGCCACTATTGAATCAACATCAGAAAAATCTAAGGAGTCCGAAAAGCCAGCTGGAGAGGCGGTGGCTGAGCAACCCCCACCAGTGGTTGCAAGTCCACCACCTCCGTTCCCTTAAAGATTGCTGAAAGTAAAAGACAACACCGCATATAAAAAGTTTCTTGATATTTCGAAGCAGGTGCAAATCAATATTCCATTGGTTGACATCTTACAAGAAGTGCCCAAATATGCAAAGTACATCAAGGACATAGTTGCAAATAAAAGGAGGCTGACTGAGTTCAAAACCGTCGCACTCACTGAGGAATGTAGCTCAAGAATTCAAAGCATGCTACCTCAAAAATTGAAGGACCCAGGTAGTTTCACTATCCAAATCTCGATTGGTAAACATGCAGTTAGGCGAGCCTTATGTGATCTTGGAGCGAGCATCAATTTGATGCCGCTATCTGTATTCAAACAATTGGGGTTGGGTGAGCCACATCCAACAACGGTAATCTTACAGCTGGATGATCACTCCCTTGCTCATCTTGAAGGAGTGATTGAAGATGTGCTGGTTCAAGTGGGGTCTTTCATATTTCCTGCTAATTTCATCATCCTGGACTATGAGCCCGATCAGAAAGCCCTATTTATTTTGGGGCATCCATTCTTAGCCACGGGCCGAGCTATTATTGATGTTTGCGAAGGAAAGATGACGATGAGAGTAGGTGATCGAGTGGAGGTATTCAATGTTTATAAAGCACTCAGGTTGCCAACCCACTATGAAGAGTTATCCATGATCTCTATGGTAGAGAGTGATGCCACATCGTTAGTGCCCTATATGAGGCCTGTAGATCCTGTTGAATGAGTGTTGATTGGGGATGAACAAGATAGTGAAGATGAAATGATGGGAGAAATTGAGCAAGTACTAGATATGTCCTGCAGTTATGTCCATGGGTTTGGAAAATATGAGGATTTCGACAGGCTTGTCACTCTTACCCCACCTATGCAATCTATTGATGAAGCTCTGAAGCTAGAATTTAAGCCACTTCCAGCGCATCAAGGATATGCTTATTTGGGGAACTCTGAGACATTGCCCGTGATTATTTCGTCCAGCTTGACCAACACTCAAGAAGAAAAATTGCTCAGAGTACTCCGCGAGCATAAAAAGGCCATTGGGTGGACTATTGCTGACATCAAGGGAATTAGTCCATCGGTTTGCATGCATAAAATTTTCTTGGAGGATGGACACCGCCCTAGTGTGGAGTAGTAGAGGAGGTTAAATCCCATTATGAAAGAGGTGGTGAAAAAGGAAGTAATCAAGTTGCTCGATGCAGGTATCATTTTTCCTATTTCTGACAGTAACTGGGTAAGCCCAGTTCAATGTGTGCCCAAAAAGGGAGGAATGATTGTGAATGAGAATGAGAAGAATGAGCTAATTCCTACTCGCACTGTGACGGGGTGGAGAGTCTGCATTGATTATAAAAAGCTCAACAAAGCAACCCGCAAGGACCACTTCCCACTTCCATTCATTGACCAAATGCTAGACAGATTAGCCGGGCATCAATATTATTGCTTCCTTGACGGTTATTCGAGATACAATCAGATTGTCATATGCCTATAGGATCAAGAGAAGACCACTTTTACTTGTCCTTATGGTACTTTTGCCTTCAAGCGAATGTCGTTTGGTCTTTGTAATGCACCAGCCACTTTTCAGGGGTGCATGATGGCTATTTTCACCGACATGGTGGAAAAATTCGTGGAAGTGTTTATGGATGATTTTTCAGTTTTTGGGTCTTCTTGTGATGATTGCTTGAGGAATTTAAGCAAGGTGCTGGCCCGTTGTGGAGAGACAAATCTGGTACTGAATTAGGAAAAGTGCCATTTTATGGTACAAGAAGGCATTGTGTTGGGTCACAGAATATTTAGGAGCGGCATTGAAGTTGATAAGGCGAAGGTGGAGGCGGTTGAAAAATTACCTCCACCTCTTTCAGTGAAGGGTGACCGGAGTTTCTTGGGACACACGAGTTTCTATCGACGCTTTATTAAAGATTTTTCTAAAATTACTACTCCTTTGTGCAGGTTGCTTTAAAAAGATGTAACTTTCAACTTTGATGACGCCTGCCTCAAGGCATTTGAAGAACTCTAAAAAAATTTGGTGTCTGCTCCCATTATTGTACCACCCGATTGGTCCTTACCATTTGAACTTATGTGTGATGCAAGTGACCACACTATTGGGGCAGTGCTAGGCCAGAGGAAGGACAAGGTGTTTTATTCCATGTATTATGCGAATAAGACTCCTGATGATGCACAGCTGAATTACACCACCACTGAGAAGGAGCTGTTAGCTGTTGTGTGGGCCTTTGAGAAATTTCGGGCATACTTGGTGGGAACGAAGGTCATAGTCCATACCGATCATGCAGCAATCAGGTACCTATTTACAAACAAGGAATCTAAAGCTAGATTGATGCGCTGGGTTTTGTTGCTGCAAGAATTTGATGTAGAAATACGATATCGAAGGGGGACAGAGAACCAAGTAGCTGACCATCTATCAAGGCTGGAAAATCATGATCACGTGGAGGAGGGTGGTCAAATTAAAGAAGTATTCCCTGATGAGAAACTTTTTGCTATAACCCAAGACCCTCCCCCACGGTATGCAGACTATGTAAATTATCTTGTGAGTGGGGTGCTTTTTCCTGAAATCCAATCTGAAGCTAGAAAGAGGGTTTTACATTATGTGAACTTTTACTACTGGGATGAGCCCTATTTGTACAAGCAATGTGCTGATCAGTTGATAAGGAGATGCATTCCTGAAAAGGAGGTGGAACTAGTGTTGTATGATTGTCACGCATCACTATGGAGGAGATAGAACAACTGCAAAGGTACTACAATCCGTCTCTTTTGGCCAACTTTATTCAAGGATGCCCATGCATTTGTCAAGAAGTGTGACCAATGTCAGAGGATAGGAACAATCACAAGGAGGCATGAGATGCCTTTGAATAACATCCTAGAAGTTGAGCTTTTTTATGTGTGGGAGATAGATTTTATGGGACGATTTTCACCGTCCAGAGGAAACAAATACATTTTGCTAGCAGTTGACTACGTGTCAAAATAGGTGGAGGCAATTGCTTTGCCAACAAATGATGCCATGGTGGTAGCTGCTTTTGTGAAAAATAACATATTTTCAAGATTTGGGACTCCACGTGCCTTAATTAGTGATGAGAGGACTCGTTTCTGCAATCGGTTGTTGAATAACCTTCTAGCTAAATATAGAGTTCGCCACAGAGTTGCTACAACATATCATCCTCAAACGAGTGGGCAAGCTACGGTGTCAAATAGAGAAATAAAGCAAATATTAGAGAAGGCGGTAAGTGTGAATAGGAAGGATTGGGATGCAAAGTTTGATGATGCCTTATGGCGTATAGAACTGCATATAAAACGCCAATTGGGGCATCCCTTTACAAGCTTGTTTATGGGAAGGCATGTCACTTGCCCGTTGAACTGGAACACAAGGCATACTGGGCCATTAAGAAGCTGAACATGGACCTTGAAGCCGCGGGTGAGAAAAGACTTTTGCAGTTGAATGAGTTAGATGAGTTCAGCTTGCACTCTTATGAAAATGCTAAGCTCTATAAAGAAAAGACAAAAAGATGGCATGACAAGCATATCAAGCCGCGTCACTTCGAGCCAGACCAACTGTTATTATTATTCAATTCTAGGATAAGGTTGTTTCCTGGAAACCTAAAACCGAGATGGTCGAGTCCGTTTGAGGTGGTGAGAGTCACTCCTTATGGTGCAATCGAGCTGCGAGCTTTAAATGGTGAAAGGATATTTTTGGTGAATGGACATAGAGTCAAGCACTAATGGGGAGGAATGATTAATCGCAACCGCTGATGAGTAAGCGAGACTCTGCGTCGTGCCGCGATGTTAAATCAGGCGCTTGTTGGGAGGCAACCCAATTTTTATTGCTTTCCTAGTTTAACTTCTTAATGTTTTCTCTTAGTTAGAGTAGATAAAGTTTTGCATTTTCTTTGTAGGTATAGAAATTTTAGATATAATGGTGTAGGACATGAAAATTGGGTATATAAAAGGCTCGGGGGATCAGGATGTGTCAAAAAAAAAAAAGACGCCCAGGCCAGCGCCTAGCGCTGCCTGAGGGAGTGCAGGCAGAATGTTTAATTCCCCCAGCGCCGGGCATAGCGCTGAGCGCTGGGCTGGGGGACCAGGTACTATAATTTTTTTTTCTTTTTCGTTTTTATTTTATTTATTCATTAACCCATACCTATTTAACCCAACCCAATTACCCATCTACAATAACACTCTAACCCATCCTAATACCCAACTTAACCATAACCCAACCCACCCCAAACACAAACCAATGCATAAACAAACAAACAAAAGAAAAAATAAATTTCTCACTTCTCCTGCGCAAAAATACTGCTGCTTCTGCTCGGTTTCTTCTCTTTTTCCTCACAAAAGTTCTCAAAGTTTTTCTTTTGCCCCCCTTCTACATTCTCCAGGTAAGTTATTCTCTTTTCTTCTTCTTCTCTCTCTTGTTTATATGTTGAATTCTTAGTCATCCCATTCCCAAGAGCCCTAACCCCCAATATTTTTCCCTATGAAGTTCATATGAAATTTTTATGGTGGGTGACTTGTGTTGGTCGAAAATTGTGTGGTTATTATGTATACGGAGTAATAAACTAGAATTTCCTCTACTTCGTTGAAAATTGGGAGGGACACCATAGTCCACCATTGTTGAATTAGAAGCACCCACTTTATGCCCGCAATGTGTTTGTTAAAATGCTTGAATGAGGATTTTGGTGCGCCGGTGAAGTCTGAGTAATCGGGTATATTTGTGTGTGAATTTGGGCTAAGTATGGCGTGTGTAGGGATGCTTTTGCATGCTAGGGGGTGTGGCTTTGATGCAATACATGTTCCTACACCATCTATTTTATATAATATATGTTGTAGAATCTTGTAAATTTGACTAACTTAGTATAGTCTTGGAGTTGTTACATGTGCATACCATATGCCTCTTGTTTACCTTAATGTGAATTCGCGTAGCTATGATCAATCATTATGGTATGGCATGGGGAAGTCTTTATTACCCATAGCTTAAGGGTGCAACACTTTTACGTGTTGGATCCAAAATTGTGACATAGTGTACATTGTACCTTCGGTTTTAAGTGTGGGGTCATTTCATGACTTGCACAACAACCTTAGGCATATTTCTTGCAGTGTTCTCACAGTTGTGCTTATTTGTGTTGCAGGATATTATGGCTCGTGATGGTTCTAGCAAAGAAAAAGGCATTGGAAAGTCCTCCACCACCTCTCCTGCGCCCAAAAAGCGCAAGCAAAGAGAAAGCTCCTCACAGCAGTCCAAAGGAAAGCAGGTCGCCGAGGGATCTCAGCAGGTGCCATTAAGGCTGATGCCTCGTTTGGATCTGGTTGATGCTGCAGCTATTACATGGCACAGGGACTTCGTTCCATCTGGTCGGTACATTTATGAGATAGGGATTAATACCAGAGCCTTAGAAAGAAACTTCCCGGAGGTACTTGGCAGTCTACAAGCTCTAAATATGCACAAGTTCTTGGAATGCCCGGGGCCTGCCAACCTGAGCATGGTTCGAGAGCTGTATGCTAACTGGGATTATCAATTGGACACTTCACGTGTAAGAGGGAAGGATGTGCTGATGGATAGAGAGTCTTTATGCAAATACTTGGGGGTTGATAAAGCTAACCCAAGGAGACTCCAACGATTTATCAGAAGCCCGGAATATGAGTTGATACGCCACACTCTTTGTGGCGTGGATTCCAATGCCTAAGTGGATAAGGAAGCAGGGCAACATTCACCTTTCTATGGTCCGG